TGTTGGCCTGTTTAATGTGGCGATCATAGAAAGACCAAATTTTGGCCTGTTTAATGTGGCGATCATAGAAAGACCAAATTTTGGCCTGTTTAATGTGGCGGTCATAGAAGGACCAAATTTTGGCCTGTTTTATTTGGCGGTCATAGAAAGACCAAATTTTGGCCTGTTTAATGTGGCGATCATAGAAAGACCAAATTTTGGACTGTTTGGTGTGGCGATCATCGAAGGACCAAATTTTGGCCTGTTTGACTAATTACAATGACCCAGTGACCTGCCTACACAATTTTTGGAACTTTGAAAAGTGTAAGTCTACAGCTTCAAGTGTCGTATCTCAATGATTGGCATGTGTCAGGTTGGTGAGCAGCGGCTTGGTTTGATCCGTTTGTTACAAATACAGACCTCCGTGTAGACATAGATGCGTAGATAGCTAGAACTCTAATCTAGATTACTGCCCCTAGCTCTAATCTTTCAAATAAGTATCTCGAAAAAACAATGTTTTCATCGGCCAAATACCTTACTCCATATGACGTAATTGGGTCACAGATAAAGGCTGTATCTGTATGATTACAGGCCAAGGGCATCTTGTTATATCATGTGATTATCTGCCCTCAAGTGTGTACTAGTATGTTTTTTTACACATCCTATAGTGGTGTAATTATTGTGGGTACCTGTACCATCATTGGGTACCTGACACGGCTGTGGGTACCTGCTACAAAAGTGGGCTCCTCCTACAGTTTGTGGGTACTTGTACCATCATTGGGTACCTGACACGGCTGTGGGTACCTGCAACAAAAGTGGGCTCCTCCTACAGTTTGTGGGTACCTGTACCACCATTGGGTACCTGACACGGCTGTGGGTACCTATAGATAGTTCGGTATGGCTGTAGCATACAACAGGTGGCCTAGCCTGTCAATAACAACTACACAACAACACCAAGTTTTGTTAGGCTGAGGCCCCACGATCAGAATACCACCAAACTGATAGGCTGCACCCCCCCCCCCCCCAATCTGATGTCTAATGGGTCTAATGCACCATATCAGCTGTAGAGCTACCAACGATTGCATAAGACGTCACGTCTGCCGTGTCGACGGTTGACCTATTTCAAGCAGTTGTACTACGTCCACGTCCTTCAGACACGTAGCTCCTCCCACCGAAATAATTTCACTCCAACTGCGCATGTCTGCTGGCTCAACTGTGGGAACGTGTGACGTCACACAGACTGTTTGTTTACCTGCCCTCTAACGGACGTAAAGCACCACTTAAATGGCAGGGGACAAAGGGGGAAAACTCTCAGGGCACGGCAGTCAGGGGGAGGGCAGTGGGGAATGGGGACTTTAACTTGGTGCACGTGATGTCACACCGTGTGTGGGGTGTTTCATTTCTGGTCAGTGGTAAGCGTTGGGTATGTCATATTTGGTGAGCAATAGTGTGCAAAATGTATTTTCTGTGCGCGCTGTTGTAAAAGTCTTATACAAGGATATATTTATTTTACAAAATCACTGCGCGGCAGCTCAAAACTAGTGCGCGGCCGCACAACCGCTCAGCTTAGATGGAACATTGATGGTGAGTGGTAAGCGTTGGGTATGTCATCTGGTCAGTGGTAAGCCTTGGGTATGTCATCTGGTCAGTGGTAAGCGTTGGGTATGTCATCTAGTCAATGGCAAACGTTGGGTATGTCATCTGGTCAGTGGTAAGCCTTGGGTATGTCATCTGGTGAGTGGTAAGCGTTGGGTATGTCATCTAGTCAATGGCAAACGTTGGGTGTGTCATCTGGTGAGTGGTAAGCGTTCGGTATGTCATCTGGTGAGTGGTAAGCGTTGGGTTTGTCATCTGGTGAGTGGTAAGCGTTGGGTATGTCATCTGGTGAGTGGTAAGCGTTGGGTATGTCATCTGGTGACTGGTAAGCGTTGGGTATGTCATCTGGTGAGTGGTAAGCGTTGGATATGTCATCTGGTGAGTGTTAAGCGTTGGGTATGTCATATCCTGACGTCCGGCTGTTCCGGCTATTCTTACTTCCGGTTTGACCGCTCCGGTCCGTGAACACCCAGGGATGAGTACATCGGTCACGTGGTACAGTAGACTGTCCACGTGACGGCCGGGTGTGACCAGGTTACAGAGGCCAGTGAGGTCATGTATTGTACCTGAGCTCAACCCCGGCCTTAATGAGACGGGCGTCACGTGATCTCCTGACGTCGGTGGTCAGGTAGAACAGGTGCGTGTGGACACAAACTCCTCCACCAATCAGCGCGCGGTTTACACTCAGTGCACTTTCTTTACAAGTCGCACTTTTGGGGTAGATCAAAGCCGACGTGTGGGTTACCACAGCCACAATACAGCCACACCACAGCCACACCACAACCATACTACAGCCATACTACAGCCATACTACAGCCATACTACAGCCATACTACAGCCACAAACACACCACAGCCACAAACACACCACAGCCAGAGCCATACTACAGCCATACCACAGCCATACCACAGCCATACCACAGCCACACCACAACCATACCAAAGCTATACCACAGCCACAAACACACCGCAGCCACACCACAGCCACACCACAGCTACAAACACACCACAGCCACAAACACACCCCAGCCACAAACACACCACAGCCACACCACAGCCACAAACACACCACAGCCACACCACAGCCACAAACACACCACAGCCATACAAAGGTCCACCAACAAGAGGACTAGGACACAGGTCCACCAACAAGAGGACTAGGACACAGATCCACCAACAAGAGGACTAGGACACAGATCCACCAACAAGAGGACTAGGACACAGGTCCACCAACAAGAGGACTAGGACACAGATCCACCAACAAGAGGACTAGGACACAGATCCACCAACAAGAGGACTAGGACACAGGTCCACCAACAAGAGGACTAGGACACAGATCCACCAACAAGAGGACTAGGACACAGGTCCACCAACAAGAGGACTAGGACACAGATCCACCAACAAGAGGACTAGGACACAGGTCCACCAACAAGAGGACTAGGACACAGGTCCACCAACAAGAGGACTAGGACACAGGTCCACCAACAAGAGGACTAGGACACAGGTCCACCAACAAGAGGACTAGGACACAGGTCCACCAACAAGAGGACTAGGACACAGGTCCACCAACAAGAGGACTAGGACACAGGTCCACCAACAAGAGGACTAGGACACAGGTCCACAAACAAGAGGACTAGGACACAGGTCCACCAGCAAGAGGACTAGGACACAGATCCACCAACAAGAGGACTAGGACACAGGTCCACCAACAAGAGGACTAGGACACAGGTCCACCAACAAGAGGACTAGGACACAGGTCCACCAACAAGAGGACTAGGACACAGGTCAACCAACAAGAGGACTAGGACACAGATCCACCAACAAGAGGACTAGGACACAGATCCACCAACAAGAGGACTAGGACACAGGTCCACCAACAAGAGGACTAGGACACAGGTCCACCAACAAGAGGACTAGGACACAGGTCCACCAACAAGAGGACTAGGACACAGATCCACCAACAAGAGGACTAGGACACAGGTCCACAAACAAGAGGACTAGGACACAGGTCCACAAACAAGAGGACTAGGACACAGGTCCACCAGCAAGAGGACTAGGACACAGATCCACCAACAAGAGGACTAGGACACAGGTCCACCAACAAGAGGACTAGGACACAGGTCCACCAACAAGAGGACTAGGACACAGGTCCACCAACAAGAGGACTAGGACACAGGTCCACCAACAAGAGGACTAGGACACAGGTCCACCAACAAGAGGACTAGGACACAGGTCCACCAACAAGAGGACTAGGACACACGTCCACCAACAAGAGGACTAGGACACAGATCCACCAACAAGAGGACCAGGACAAAGGTCCACCAACAAGAGGACTAGGACACAGGTCCACTGATAAGAAGACACATGAGTAGGACACACACGAGGGCCCATGACTCAGCTGCTATCTTGGCCCTCTGATCTTATCGCTAGTGACATCACATTCCGGATATTCCCGTTATTACCTCGGCTTGTCAAATTGCGACTGACTTTAAAAACCAGCTCCGATATGGGACCCCAAACCTACCCGTCCGTCCAGATATCTACGGGAAGAACTCGCCTGAGTTTCCAGACTGATGACGTAGGTGACGGACGGGCCAAATTCCCCCGGAACATTCCATGACAGACAGTTGCGGCAAATCATCGAGTGACCCCCGGCTGTTTACGGGTACAGGGCTGTTTCAGCTGTTCACAGGTGTAAGGCTGTTTCGGCTGTTCACGGAGTGTAAGGCTGTTTCAGTTCTAGTTTCACGTACCCTATCTGCCTAATGTTTTGTTCAAACCAAACAAGATCCCCTGCACCCCCTCCCCCCCTCCCCCCGTAACTACACCGGTTAAAATTTAAAGACAAAATTCTTATTACCTAAGGAAAATACCATTTAAGGTTATTAAAATAGATCCCATTGCTAGTACAATTTTTATTTTTACGGCTTATTGTGATTACATTTTTAATACGATTTTCTCAAAAACCCGCAGATCACTTTTGATTTTAACCCACTCGGGTGCTTTAATCTTAATCGATACATCGATTTAATCGCGGTGAATCGATTGATTTTGTCTGATGAAATAACCTTGTCCTGTACTTAAAGTACTAAGGTAACAAGTACCAGCCTCTAGTTGGGAGCCAGCACACGGTGTACAGTGGGAAGTATCTGTTCTCCCCCCCCCCCCTGCAATAAAATCTAAATCGATGAACTAATCAATCGATTGCAGATATCCTGTGAAATCGGTGTGTTAAAATAGCAACTATCGCAACACCGGGAAGAGACGTAGTATCGGGAACTGGTGTAAAACAGGTAGTAAAGACTTTCCGTGAAACCGATATTGGCGACCCGAGAACACAGACCTACCACGTGACCTGCGTCGCTTGACGGCGCAGCAGGCGTGCCGCTATAAATAGCACAGAGTAATCAAAGCTGCGACAGTCGAGCGAGTGATGTCACAGTCGATGGATATCTCATCTACATGGTGAACTTAATTCTGTGATTACAGGCTCTAGGGAACGTGGAATATTCTAGACATTTTCAAAGTGAGTTTTTCAAAGTTTTTACAATTTCGGTTTCTTTATTATGAATTTCTTTGTGTTTTGAACTAGGTTTAAGAGTTTAAATCGACATTTCTTGAAGTCATCGTTGTTGTTATTGTTGTTGTTATAGTTTGGGTCATATTTTTTTGTCATTTCTGTCATCTTGTGTGTCGTCATACATCAAACTAAACCACGTGACATGTTTGGTTAGAGCTAACCAGATAAAAAACAATGTTTAGAAATGGTTTATCATTGAACATACATGTTAGGCATCTAAATATAAAGGTAGTACGGTATAGATATATATATATATATATATATATATATATATATATATATATATATATATATATATATATATATATATATATATATGGTGAAGCAGCCAAGCGGGACCTACGTGTTAAAAAAGTTTATCTTGTCCTGTGTAGGCTACATATGTATGTGTGTAAACATTCCAGCTAGTTATCACAGTGTTCTAATCTCTGATAAGTTATCCCGTTACACACACACGTACACACACGTATACACAAAAGTACACACAAGTATACATACACACACACGTACACACACTCGTACACATGCATACACATACACACATGCACGTATACACACACTCACGCTCACACAATAGAGTCAACATATCGGGTGAGATAAAATTTAAAATGTAAATGGCGACTTTTGTAAAGTGTAAGAGATAAATGGTAGCGGTCAGTATAGCTTCTACTGTTGGCGTTATGAGAGGCGGGGGTGTCATAGCCTCTACTGTTGGCGTTATGAGGGGTGGGGGTGTTATAACCTCTAATGTTGGCGTTATGAGGGGTGGGGGTGTCATAGCCTATACTGTTGGCGTTATGAGGGGTGGGGGTGTCATAGCCTCTACTGACGGTGTAATTAGGGGTGGGGGTATTATAGCCTATACTGTTGGCGTTATGAGGGGTGGGGGTATTATAACCTCTACTGTTGGCGTTATGAGGGGTGGGGGTGTCATAGCCTCTACTGACGGTGTAATTAGGGGTGGGGGTGTTATAGCCTCTACTGTTGGCGTTATGAGGGGTGGGGGTGTCATAGCCTCTACTGTTGGCGTTATGAGGGGTGGGGGTATTATAACCTCTACTGTTGGCGTTATGAGGGGTGGGGGTGTCATAGCCTCTACTGACGGTGTAATTAGGGGTGGGGGTGTTATAGCCTCTACTGTTGGCGTTATGAGGGGTGGGGGTGTCATAGCCTCTACTGTTGGCGTTATGAGGGGTGGGGGTGTCATAGCTATTGTTGGCGCTATTCCAATCGTGGCTGATAACTGCTAAAGTTTATTAATTGCTTTGTACTTCGGCAAGTGAATTCCAGTTTTTAGTTACTGTGTTCAGACAACCTGTTACAATTTTGTTACGGCTTTAAGACTGGCTATTACTATATAGTTAGTTTAGTTTCTTCAGCTTGACAGCAGTTATTCTCCTGTCTGACCCCTGCCTGTTGTCTTCTACTGACCCTGACCTTTGTCCTCCAGGCGTGACCATGACCTACCAGACCAACATCCACATCAAGGAGGAGCCCAGATCTCCTGCCAGCACGACAGACATGAGTCACCTGGCAGCGGCCACCAGCGTTGACCAGCACCACATGGCCGGCTCAGTGCTCACCTACAGAAGGCCCGGCCCCCCGGGATACGACCCCGTCTCCCCAGAACCAAAGTACAGCTCGCACGTAGGGATGGGTCGGGCTGTGGACTTTGGTCAGTTGAACTTTGACCCCAAGAACTCTCTGAAGGAAGTGATCCTGTCCAGGAGGAGGGCGAGAGGGGAGGACGAGATGGAGGTCAAGTTTGAGGAGCCCAAACACTACGAGGTAGGTCACGTGATGCGGTTGAAAATAACATCTAGTTGCTTACATTTACTCTCAAGTGTAAATAACCCATGTAAATAACCCGTGGAAATAACCCATGTAAATAACCCATGTAAATAACCCATGTAAATAACCCGTGGAAATAACCCATGTAAATAACCCATGTAAATAACCCATGTAAATAACCCATGTAAATAACCCATGTAAATAACCCATGTAAATAACCCATGTAAACAACCCATGTAAATAAACCATGTAAACAACCCATGTAAATAAACCATGTAAATAACCCGTGTAAATAACCCGTGTAAATAACCCATGTAAATAACCCATGTAAATAACTCGTGTTCCATGACCTCTGCAGCTGACGCAGGCGGACATTGAGAGGAGAGAACGACGACGGGAACAGAACCGCCGGGCGGCCAAACGGTGCCGGAACAAGAAGAAGGAGATCCAGAGCTACGTCTCAAAGGTCAGCATCCGTCGTCTGCTTGTCTTCCAGACCTTTCTTTACCCATCACCAACCTCTCATTTGACAAATTATGTCTTAACACAGACTGTTCTTTCTTTACCCATCACTAACATTTGACAACTTATGTCTTAACACAGACTGTTCTTTCTTTACCCATCACCAACATTTGACAACTTATGTCTTAACACAGTCTATTGTTTGCCCCCCCCCACCCCCCACCCCCACCCACAGGAGACAGAGAAGATGAGCCACGAGAACCACCTCCTCCAGCAAGAGATCGTCAAGCTGAAGGGCGAGGTGCAGCGTCTGGAGCAGATCATCGTCTGCCACTACACGTCTGGCTGCACCTTCAAGGACGAGAGGGTCGAGCGCATGCTGGCAGACGGCATGACGTCACACTTGCCGCAGCCAGGCCTGCAAGAGGCGGCCGGTGCCAGCGTGCTGGAGAGGGAGCAGCTCTGTCATGAGGAGCTGCAGTACGAGGTCTCTGCTAACGAGCTCACCTACCCAGAGGATCACGTGTTGCCCGTCAACAACCTGCCCAGCTGGGACTTTGTTAATTTAAATCCCGATCCCCAGTTTGCGGCCCTGGCTGGGGCTCAAGACCCCTGCACTTACGACCCCTGCTCAACCAATATACCTACGTCATTTGATCCCACACGATACGACACTTCAACCAACCTACCTCTGACGTCACACGATGAAGCGCCCCCCTCCACCCTCATGTCGTGTGTGAACCCTAACCTGGTGCAACAGCAGTCCTTCGCAGTCAAACTCCCCCACACCCTGGCTACCACCCCCAAGCTCCCCCACATAGAGGCCATGCTCTACCATCAGCAGACCACACACGCTGGTGGCATGAACCAGATGAACGAGTATGACGTCAGCAACGGTTCCTACGTCAGCTGCCCGTACCGGTACCTCTCGTCAGAACCGGACCAGAGGAGTGAGTTCTCCTAACGCTAGGCTCGTTCTCGTCTCATGCTGCAGTTTGCTGGATGTCGTGTTGGGCTAGCTTGTTGGACGACACCATGTGACTCTGTATGACAACACTCTAGGACAATGTAGGACACTTTAGGACACCCTATACGACACTCCAGGACACCCCAGGACACCAATAAAAACGTTACCACCAGGAAGTTCAAGCGCCTTATCAGATCTCGTGTTGCCTGATCTCATCACGTGACTGTTGATCCAGTCACGTGACAACCGACCTCACCACGTGACAACAGACCTCACCACGTGACAACATAGCTAGTCACGTGTGTACAGTTGTGACTTTGTACAGCCGATTGTCTTTTACCAACCGTTCCCAAGCCGGATGTTGGCCGCAATATTCAAGTCTTGTACATACAACTTTCCATTGTTGTGTGTAAACATACAGCAAATTCTTGTACATACAACTTTCCATTGTTCTATGTAAACATACAGCTACATTTCCTAATGATATTTCCCTCAGTGTACTGTTATTTTATGCTTGACACGTTTTTCTTAACTCATGGAAGTTTTGTTACATGTTTTACACCTGCTGTATATAGTCTACCTAGTGTATAATATAGAGTACCTTTTATATAATCTACCTGTTGTACACAGTCTACCTGATGTAGTCTACCTGTTGTACACAGTCTACCTGTTGTACACAGTCTACCTATTGTACACAGTCTACCTGTTGTACACAGTCTACCTGTTGTATATAGTCTACCTGTTGTACATAGTCTACCAGTTGTACACAGTCTACCTTATGTATATAGTTGTACAGAAGAGTTTATCAACAATTGATATTATCACCTTATACATTTATGATATTTATTTCATGGGGCGAATCTTATTATTTACTTTTTTCTTATATCTCAACGATTTTGAATTTTCAAATGAAAAACAAAACCCACACACACGCATATTCAAACTCATGTAAATACAACACACATACACACATTAACAACACATACACGCTCAAACACACCACCTCCCTAACATACCTCATGATAATAAAAGGATCTAGCTTTTCGGTTATCAATGGGGGGGGGGGGCGAAGCCTTAGTTTCCATGCCATATCTATACAGATCTATATATAAAAAAAAATATATAAAAAAAAATATATATAAATATATATATAAATATAAAAAGATGTGTTGAATTTGATAGGCTCCCTTCGCTTTTCTAAAAAAAAAAAAAATTTAATTTGGGAGGGCTGTGCCCTCCTTACACCTCGATAGATTCGCCTATGCCCATCTGACGTGTGTAGCTTGCGTGTTGTTACATGTGTGTTGTGAGTTATCTCCTGTTGGCCACCGTGTGTGTGTTCACTGGCTCATTTAGCCAAGTTTGATTGGACAAAAGTCTGATGTGTCATACCATTTACCAAAAGCCACCTACCATTTATTTGGTATAAAAGTCTGATGTGTCATACCATTTACCAAAAGCTACCTACCATTTATTTGGTATATTTTTATCTTGCTCAGACCAAACATTTTAAAACTACAATTTTCGATGATTTATTCTTTTTCCGCGAAGAATGACGACTGCTTGACTCCGCGAAGAATATTAGCTCTCAGGGATTTCCGCGAAGTTTAGATGTGTTTTCTATTGTATTCTGCTAATTTAAACGCTGTTGTTGTTGATTTCAAATGACATCGCCATATAATTGGGAGATATTAAAATCTTTGTAAGTAGCAAATATTTGTTAATACTGAAATAATTTTCATGTGTAAGATAATTTGCAAGTAATATTCTCTGTGCCATATTTTTTTCCAGAAGAGCAAAATTTTAAAAATTAAAACAAACTTCGGTATACTTGCATCATTATATTCTAATTTAAACCTGTACATTAGTTTTTTTAAATGCCTGTACACAAGACATTATTGTTTTAAACATGTTTGTTAATGAGGTCATACAACTTGACATGTACGACCCGTGTCACCTGACCACACATGACCTTGACCTGTGTGACCACACATGACCTTGTTATATGTTTTTAAAGCCAGTTGTGATTATTTATTCCAGTCAAATATGGAGTTTCCCTCTGTGGGTTCTGGGTACCCCTGTGAAATTTGGTATCACTGTGATGCATGGGTACCCTGTGGAATCTAGGTGCCCTTGTAAAATATGGGTACCACTTTGGAATCTGGATAACCCAGTAATTATGGGTATCCCATTAAAATATGGGTACCCCAGTAAAATATGGGTACCCCATTAAAATATGGGTACCCCATTAAAATATGGGTACCCCAGTAAAATGGTACCTCAGTAAAATATGGATAACCCAGTAAAATATGGGTACCCCTGTAAAATCTGGGTACCCCTGTAAAATATGGGTACCCCTGTAAAATCTGGGTACCCACTGAGGGTGACTCAGCTAGTCCCGACCTGTATATATCTTATTTATTGCACCCTAATATGCATTGAACTTGAAATGATGAGTAGCATTCCTGCGGGCAGTTGTAGATTGATCTTGACCTGCAAATGATATGTTTTGTCGAGATCAAACTTAGATCAAACCTAGATCTAACCTAATTTGAGATAATGTAATTCTTGATCCGGTTTTTAAATTAGTAATAAGTTTTCTGTCTAGTTTTAAATTTTAAATAATCAACTAATTAACTTTTTTCATTAGTTTTGTGCCTTAACTTCAGAAAATGTTTGCTTAGCCATATATTTCTAAATATTTCAGATGATTTTTTTTTTTACTTCTTAGTTTAAGTCTTGAACTATTAAAGAAATTTCTATGTTTTGCTCAAGTTAATAAATGTAAGGTTATTGTACATTGAAATAAAGAAAGAGGTTAATATTTTGCTCAAGTTATACATGTAAGGTTGTTGTACATTGAAATATTACTACGATATTTGTTCACCTACATGAATAAAAGTTGAAAACTCCAATGTGACGTCATTCTTGTACTTAAACTCTTGTAAATAACCTTTACGGATTGTTGTATATACATTATCACGACAATTACCTCGGGTATTATAGTTGACTTAACAGTTACCTCACCAGTTACCCCCAACAGTTACCCTCAACAGTTGTCCCCTGTGTAACAGCTACATGTGTAACAGTTACCCATATGTAAGTTACACCACATGTAGCAGTTACCGCAAGAGTTACCCCATGTGTAACAGTTCCTCCCCCCCCCCCCCCCCCGTGTACCAGTTACCCCAACGGTTGGACCGTGTATACCATGTGTTCACCATTCCTCAGTTGATTCAGCTATACCTGTCTTGTTAAGAAGTCGACCGGAAAATGCCGGCTGATTGTGCATTTGAAATGAATATCTGAATGCCACACGACGTTCAACACACGACCGACCCCCACCCACGTCTAGAGGTGACGATAGAAACATGTTTGGTGTTGTCATCGACTGGTCAGCGGCGATGTTGTGTCCGACAGGTCATCACGTGATGTGTGGTCATCTCGCTGGCTAGTAACATGAAAATAGTGTGTCGTATAGAAATGTTGCCGGCACGCTCAGCTGATGGTGTCAAGGTCACCAAGTCAGAAGTGACAGATCTCAACCTATCAGGTTTGTCGGTGTCAGTCATGCATGCTGGTGCCAGGTGTGTTGGTCCAGGTGTGTTGGTCCAGGTGTGTTGGTGCCAGGTATGTTGGTGCCAGGTGTGTTGGTCCAGGTATGTTGGGCCAGGTGTGTTGGGCCAGGTGTGTTGGGCCAGGTGTGTTGGGCCAGGTGTGTTGGGCCAGGTGTGTTGGTCCAGGTGTGTTGGTGCCAGGTTTGTTGGTCCAGGTGTGTTGGTGCCAGGTGTGTTGATCCAGGTGTTTTGGTGCCAGACAGCCTGGAACTGCTGATCCCAGCACAGCGTGGGCGGATTTGCATAAAGAACTGGGCCTTTAAACCCAGAAGGTTTTACTAGGAAATAAAATTCTTGAAAACAAAACCAGCGCTTGACGAGGAATTTGTATTGATTTTTCTCAACACGTTCTACTTCCAATATAAACTTCCAGCCTTCGTGGGAGGAGATAGCAGTACATGGTGGTAGTAGTCAACACCAAGACATGTTGTCTACACCAAGACATGTTGTCTACACCAAGACATGTTGTTTACACCAAGACATGTTGTCTACACCAAGACATGTTGTCTACATCAAGACATGCTGTCTACACCAAGACAAGACATGTTGTTTTTCCACCAAGACATGTTGTCTACACCAAGACATGTTGTCTACACCAAGACATGTTGTCTACACCAAGACATGTAGTCTACACCAAGACAAGACATGTTGTCTACACCAAGACATGTTGTCTACACCAAGACATGTTGTCTACACCAAGACATTTTGTCTACACCAAGACAAGACATGTTGTCTACACCAAGACATGTTGTCTACACCAAGACAAGACATGTTGTCTACACCAAGACATGTTGTCTACACCAAGACATGTTGTCTACACCAAGACATGTTGTCTACACCAAGACAAGACATGTTGTCTACACCAAGACATGTTGTCTACACCAAGACAAGACATGTTGTCTACACCAAGACATGTTGTCTACACCAAGACATGTTGTCTACACCAAGACATGTTGTCTACACCAAGATATGTTGTCTACACCAAGACAAGACATGTTGTCTACACCAAGACAAGACATGTTGTCTACACCAAGACATGTTGTCTACACCAAGACAAGACATGTTGTCTACACCAAGACATGTTGTCTACACCAAGACAAGACATGTTGTCTACACCAAGACATGCTGTCTACACCAAGACATGTTGTCTACACCAAGACATGTTGTCTACACCAAGACATGTTGTCTACACCAAGACATGTTGTCTACACCAAGACATGTTGTCTACACCAAGACATGTTGTCTACACCAAGACAAGACATGTTGTCTACACCAAGACATGTTGTCTACACCAAGACATGTTGTCTACACCAAGACATGTTGTCTACACCAAGACATGTTGTCTACACCAAGACATGTTGTCTACACCAAGACAAGACATGTTGTTTACACCAAGACAAGACATGTTGTTTACACCAAGACAAGACATGTTGTCTACACCAAGACATGTTGTCTACACCAGAGGCGTAGCGAGGGGGGGGGGGGCGGGGGTTGCGGACCGCACCGGGTGACACCATTTAGGGGGGTGACACCAAGGCAAAAAATATCAAAATATATAGAGAAAAACTTGAGGGGGTGCAAATCGAAAGTTCGAGGGGGGGGGGGGGTGCAAATCGAAAGTTTGAGGGGGTGCAAATCGAAAATTTGAGGCGGGGGGTGCAAATCGAAAATTTGAGGCGGGGGGGGGGGGTGCAAATCGAAAATTAGAGGCGGTTGGGGGTGGGGGGTGAAAATCGAAAATTTGAAAGTTTGTCCCCGGAGGGTCGCTACGCCTCTGGGGGGGGGTGTTGACACCCGACCTCGCTACGCCACTGGTCTACACCAAGATATGTTGTCTACACCAAGACAAGACATGTTGTCTACACCGGGAATGATCCACTATATGTGTCCGGGTGTGTCCTGGCATGGGCCACTAAATGTGGCCGGGTATGGGCCACTATATGTGTTCGGGTATGGGCCACTATATGTGTCCAGGTATGGGCCACTAAATGTGTCCGGGTATGGGCCACTAAATGTGTCCGGGTATGGGCCACTATATGTGTTCGGGTATGGGCCACTATATGTGTTCGGGTATGGGCCACTAAATGTGGCCGGGTATGGGCCACTAAATGTGTCCGGGTATGGGCCACTATATGTGTTCGGGTATGGGCCACTATATGTGTTCGGGTATGGGCCACTATATGTGTTCGGGTATGGGCCACCCACTAAATGTGGCCGGGTATGGGCCACCCACTAAATGTGTCCGGGTATGGGCCACTATATGTGTTCGGGTATGGGCCACTAAATGTGGCCGGGTATGGGCCACTAAATGTGGCCGGGTATGGGCCACTATATGTGTTCGGGTATGGGCCACTAAATGTGGCCGGGTATGGGCCACTAAATGTGTCCGGGTATGGGCCACTAAATGTGGCCGGGTATGGGCCACTTGTCAAGGAAGAAAGAAACGGTGTGTAGCGAATGTTTCAAGCTATAAATAGACTTTTCTCCTTATAAGTAGGTAGGGGCGTTATGTTTGAATAACGATATAGGTTTTATTTTACCCGTAGATCTACATAACTGTTGTGGGAATTCCCGTATTCTACAGACGTATTTTCAGGAAACTGCTAGAAATTCCATTCTTAGCCTAGACGCACTTTAAAATTGATAAAACTACCGGTAAATGTATATATTTGTTTAAATTCCCCCTTGCCCCCCTTTCTAGCCCCCCCCCCCCCCACCCAACCCAATGGGTATCAGCTTGTCGTTTTTAACTGGACTTCTGAGTCAGTTTGTGTTTGACTTCCTGAAATGGCTTTAAATGCCATTAGGTGGCTTGGTTTTACACGGGCACGCACAATTGTGCATAGAGCACACACAATTGTGTATAGAACACACACAATTGTGCATAGAACACACACAATTGTGTATAGAACACACACAATTGTGCATAGAACACACACAATTGTGCATATAACACACACAATTGTGCATAGAACACACACAAGTGTGCATAGAACACACAATTGTGCATAGAACACACACAATTGTGCATAGAACACACATAATTGTGTATAGAACACACATAATTGTGCATAGAACACACACAATTGTGCATAGAACACACATAATTGTGTATAGAACACACATAGTTGTGCATAGAACACACACAATTGTGCATATAACACACACAATTGTGCATAGAACACACACAAGTGTGCATGGAACACACACAATTGTGCATAGAACACACACAATTGTGCATAGAACACACATAATTGTGTATAGAACACACATAATTGTGCATAGAACACACACAATTGTGCATAGAACACACATAATTGTGTATAGAACACAAATAATTGTGTAAAGAAAACGCACAATTTTGCATATAACACACAATTGTGCATAGAACACACACAATTGTGTATAGAACACACATAATTGTGTATAGAACACAAATAATTGTGTAAAGAAAACGCACAATTTTGCATATAACACACAATTGTGCATAGAACACACACAATTGTGTATAGAACACACATAATTGTGTATAGAACACATATAATTGTGTAGATGACACGCACAACTGTGCAGAGGCCATACCAAACATAGCAGACGACACGTTCGCTAATATCGTATCGACCTGCGTGCGTGCAGCAGAAATCAATACAACCTGTTTCTTCGTCTGCCGCTTCATTGATCGTCTTCACTAGACCCGTCCCGCCTCTACACACCCATACAGCATACTGGCAGCATACAGGCACAACATACATACAGCATATTGGCAGCATACGACATAGACAATGCACATTGACGCTAAGCTTAGAAAAAAAATCGATTGAAATTCCTGGAAATATTTTTTTCCCAGAAGGTTCATCTGCCTCGCCCCGCCCCTCCCCGCCCCGGTATCGATTGTCCCTGAGAGATCGATACAGGGCCCCGAGCAGCCTCGATACATCGACGGCACGGGATGTTACACGGCATCCCATTGGTTGCACGTTGCTAGGCGACTAACATGGCCAGGGAGGTGCCCGATGGTTCGCTAGAAATTATTCAAATGGTGGGCAGGCAGCTGGCGACATCGATACATACAGCATACAGCTGACATGTACATAGAAATAGAAACATATTACATCTATACATACACCATAAATAGATAACTAATAGTTAACAAGTTAATATAAATGTAACACAGACATTAACATTTCGCGTGTAAATATAACAAATAGTTTATATATATATATATATATATATATATATATATATTACAAACAGTTTACATGCAAATATAAACGTTTACCGTTTACATAT